GTGATTGTCCAATAATCTGTATCTTTACTGGTTTTTTTTTCTTCCTAATTACCAGTTACTGAGAGTTGTGTTAAGATTTCCTTGTGTGACACTGGATTTGTCAATTTTGCCTTATGTATTTTGAGATTCTTATCAGGGTCTTATTACTTAAGTTCAGAATTTCTCATCTTCCTGATTAGTTACACAGTGTTTGGTGACTTTTTAGCTTTTTTTGCATTCATTCATTTTTTTTGTTGTAGTAAACATAAAACTTACCATTTTTAAGTGTACAGTTAAGTATGTTTGCATTATTGTGCAGCCATCATCAACCTCCCATCTTCAGAACTTTCTCATCTTCTCTGTGCCCATCCCTAGCCCTGGCAACCTTCTGTCTATGAATTTGATTGCTCTAGGTGCCTCGCATAAGTGGAATATGTCTGTCCTTTTGTGAATGACTTATTTCACTTAACATAATGTCCTCAAAGTTCATCTATGTTGTAGCACATGAAAGGATTCCCTTCCTTTTTAAGGCTGAGTAATATTCTATTGCATGTGCTACACACATACTTTTACATATAGATGAATATACTGCATTTCACTTATCCATTCTTCTGTTGATGGATATTTGGTTTGCCTCCATCTTTTGGCTGTTGTGAATAATGCTGCTTTGAACACAGATATACAAATATTCCTTGGAGTTCCTGCTTTTAATTCTTTGGGTATATATCCAGAATTGCTGGGTAATATGGTAATTCCATGTTTAATATTTTGAGGAACCTCCATACCATTTTACACAGCAACTGCACCATTTTACATTCCCACCAAAAGTGCACGTGGGTTCCAGTTTCTCCACATGCTGGCCAACTCTTATTATTTTCTGTTTAATTTTTTTGATTGTAGCCATCCTAATGGAGGCAAGGTGACATCTCATTATGGTTTTGAGTTCCACTTTTCCCTAAGTGTTAGAGATGTTCAGCATCTTTTCATGTACTTATTGGCCATTTTATATCTTCTTAAGAGAAATGTCTATTCAAGTCGTTGGCCCGTTTTTCAAATCAGACCTTTGTTTGTTGTTGAGTTATAGTGTTTGGAGTTTTGGGGGGAGCTCTCTTATCTATATAGTTGTTCTAGCCTTCTTTGGGTAATATTTGCCTGATATATTATTTCAATCCTTTTACTTCTACCTGCCTGTGTTTCCCTCATAAATGCCACATACGGATTTTGTGTTTTAGCCAAACTAACAATTTCTGTCTTTTAATTGGAGAGTTTAGTCCTATCACATTCAATGTTTTTTATTAATATATTTGAATTCATTCATTCTCCCATGGTACTTTCTATTTGTCCTGTGTTTTCTGTGTTCCCTTTTTTATCTCTCTTCTTGCTTTGCCTTATTTTGAGGTTCTTTTTTCTCCTCATTCATTTTTTTTCTTTCTTTCACTGGTTTGGGACTTTTGTATTCTGGTTGGAGTTTTTTTGCTTGTTTTTTAGTGTTAAACAAGACTTTTACATCATACACAAGACTTTTACTTAAGGTCTAAAATAATTGATATTTTTATCCCTGTCCCACTGCATATGTAACCATGACCTCTAGGTGTCTGGTCTGCCTCCACTCTTTATATTTCTCAGGATGGGTCCCTATGTCACTCAAGATCTCTGAAGACATATTTCAACTGGTGAAGTGGCTCCCTTGAAGCCGTTCTTGGCTTACTGTGAAGAGAAGCACTTTCTTCTCCTCCATGTAGAGTGGCATGGAGATGAGAAGTGGAATGCACAGCACACCATTACTATAGCCTTCTTTAAACTCATAAACTTGTCTATCTTAAATGAGAAGGCTTTCTTTTAGAATACTACTCTGGCTGTGATGTAGACAATGAATTAGAGGCTAACAATTACAAATGCACTTCAATAAATTAGAATGCTTTTGCAGGCCAAATATTTTGGTGTTCCAGTCTAAGGTTTTAATAGTAGAAATGGAGACAAATGGATGGATTTGAGAGAGATTTGGGAAATAAACACAACAGCACAATGGAGCCAGAGCGGTTTCCATGACTTTGCCCCAGTGCCTGGCTCGTTGCCCTGTAAACCCGTCTGTGCTTGTCTTCTGTTTGCTGCATCCAGCTAACATCTTATCTCTGGATTGTATCTGAGGTTCCCATATTGTGCTTAAGAAGACAAGTACCAGAGGTAGATTCTTGGTGATGGATCAGTCCATGTAGAAATGGCAAATGGTAGCTTTGGGTCTCAAAAGAGAGTTTGAGAAATAAGAATCAGAAACTAATAACAAGGATTCTGGGTCATAGTGGCCAAAAACCTTATAGAATCGCAACAACAGGTTTAGGTACCACCTGCCATAAGATGTTGGTTAGTGAATCAACATCCTTTCCACAGTGGCAATTGATTAAATATCCACAGATTAAAAAAACTGTATCTGCTTGATAACAGGGGAAGTATGGTCATTTCACAAATGCTCAAGTATTGAGAGGAAACTTCTCTCATTTCATTACAAGATCGATTGTTCTTAAGAATCTTCACAAAATCCTAAAAGTAATAACTTAATGTTAATATTCATACTAAATTGCCCAGAATGAAAGCACTGTCAACATTTACATAATGTTTCAAAATTTTTAGCAAAGGTATTCATTAATTCAGTGCATATTTATTGGGTGCCTATCAGATGGCAAGTATTATTCTAGGACTGGAAATATAGTTGTAAGTAAGATAGATAAGGTCCTTATCTGCATGGAGAGGACATTCTAATACAGATAGGTGATAAATAGGTAAACAGAAAACAAAATAATTTTAGATCTAATATATGCTATGAAGAAAGTAAATATGGTGACAGAGGGAGTGAGAAGGATAAACAAAGAGCTGAGAACAAAGAACAAAGAGTCAAGGGAGGAAATTTCCAGGCAAAGGAGCTTGCAAGTACAAATGCAATGAGGCGAGAAAGAATTCAGGTTTGAGGCAGGCATGGATGGTGCATAGAGTGTTATATGGTGGACAGGTCAGCAAGGTGGTAGGCAAGTGCCAAATCATATAAGGTATCGTAGGCTGCATGAATCTAAATTTTATTCTTGGTTCCAGGGGAAGCCATTGGCGAGTTTTATGTAGGAGAGTAAAATAATTTATATTTTTGAAGGATCAATCTGCTGTGAAAACTATGAGAAGGAGAGTAGCAGTTACCAGGCCCGTAGAAAGATATTGAAGTAAAACAGGTGAGAGAAGAAGATGGCTGAAGCAGGTGAACTTGGGAGAGAAGACAGGATTCGATGAGGGATTGCTCCCTGGGGGTGTGAACAAGAGTGATCAAGAATGACCTGCGCTTTGGGGTTGCAGCTAGGTGGACAAGCTGTGATTTTCTGAGAAGATGAGGGACTATTAAGTATTAAGTTTGAGGAACGCAAGTGAAGATATGAAGTTGGCAGTCGGATGGATGGAAGAATTCATAGCTTAGAAGTCAGAGTGGGAGCTCTGCGCTTGGCCGTCGTTCAGGTTTGGTGGGTATATGTAGAGAAGAAAAGACCTGGGCACTCCAGGAAGACAGATCAGGCAGACAAGGAGGCCCAGCCGAGAAGGCCGAGAGGAGGCAGCCGGTGAGACAGGGAAACGTGTAAACCAGGAGGCAGGTGTTTGGGAAATTATGGAATGGACAACTGTGCATGCTGCTGAGAGACCAAGAAAGTGACCTTTGGGCAATGTGGCGACATTCCAGGCTGTAGTGACTTTGATCAAAGCCATTTCATTGCTGTGGGGTGGGATGGGGAAGCTGTAGCATGAGTAGGGGGTTCACTGTGATGACATTAGTCTTTTTGCAGGGTTCCCCCCACTCAGGTATTCCTCTCCACCTCAGGAACTCACTGACTCCTGTTTTATGCCTGTCCTTCATTGTCTACACCTCCTTCCCTCCTCCTTTAAAAGCTTCCCTCTCCCAGAACAGTAGAGCTTGATTACCCCCAAGAGCAAACCTAAACCCTTGGGTATACGAGGCTCATTTACTTCTCCAGGGATGAAAGAAACAGGGAGACAGCTTCAGTACTTAAGATGGCTACCTGGCCGTTGGTCATTGACATTAGATGCAAACAGGTTCGTTTTTTTTTTTTAATCAATAACTTTATTTTTTAGAGAAGTTTTAGATTCACAGCAAAATTGAGCCAAAAGTACAGAGTTCCTGTACACCCACTGTCTCACACACTGCCTCCCCTGCTATCCACATTCCCCTCCAGAATGGTACATTTGAACCTACATTGACACATTATTACCCAAAGTTTACATTAGGGTTCACCTCGGTAATGTACATTCTCTGGGTTTTGACACGTGTGTAAGGACATGAATCCAATAGTTTCACTGCCCTGAAAATCCTCTGTGCTCTGCCCATTCACCCCTCCCTCCCCACTAACCCCAGCAATCACTGCTTTCTTTAACCTCTCCATAGTTTTATCTTTTCCAGAATTTTGTGTAGTTGGAATCCTACAATATATAGCTTTTTCAGACTGGCTTCTTTCACTTAGTAAAATGCAGTTAAGTTTCCCTCATGTCTTTTTATGGCTTGATAGCTCCTGTCGTTTTAGTCTGAATACCATCCGTTGTCTGGATGTACTACAGTTTATTTATCCATTCACCCACTGAAGGACATCTTGGTTACTTCCAAGGTTTTGGCAATTATGAATAAAACTGCTATAAACATCCTCGTTAGATTTTTATGTGGATTTAAGGTTTTCAAATCACTTGGATAAATACCAAGAAGTGGGATGGCCAGACTGTACATTAAGAGAATGTTTATTTCGTAAGAAACTGCCAAACTGTCTTCCAAAGTGGCTGCACCATTTTGCATTCCCACCAGCAATGAATGAAAGTTCCTGTTGCTCCACATCCTCACAGGCATTGGGTGGTATTAGTGTTTTGGGCTTTTGCCATTCTAGTAAAGGTGTAATGGTATCTCATTGATGTTTTAATTTGCATTTATTTACCTGTGACCTATGTGGAGCATCTTTTCATATGTTTATTTGCCATCTCTGTATCTTCTTCTTTGTTTTAACTTCATGAACCTGCGTGTCATCCCTGCACAGCAGCCATGCTAATCTTCTCTGTATATCATTCCAGTTTTAGTATATGTGCTGCCAAAGTGAGCGCCCTGTACCTTCTTCAGTGAGGTATCTGTGCAGATCTTTTGCCCATTTTTTTTCATCAGGTTTGTTTACTTATTGAATTTTGAAAGTTCTTTGTATTGTATGGGTTCAGAATACATCACCCCCAAATAGGCTACTTTGGCTTAAGTATTATTTTCAGGTAATTGAGAAGAGGCAGATACAGGAAAAAAAAATCTCTGCTGTTCCCACTCTACCAGGAAAGGCAGGCTGATTCTTGATCACCAGAGACTCTTCTCAGCCAGACACTGAGCAGAATCTACTTAACAAACCTCACTGAACAACCCTTATCCTCCATTAGTTTCCCCCTACATTGACGCCACCACAGTTCGCCTTTCCTCGGAGCCTGAGTTCTTCTTCCTTTGCGTTGCCACTTCTCCAGAAATATACTGTCTTTGTTAAATTTTTTTATGAGCCCCAGGTTCTAACCACCCCTTTGAGTTGCTCACCACTGAGGTTTCTCCTGCATGTTAGTAAAACTCTATTTGTTTTTCTCTTTTGTCAGTTTAATTTCCAGGGCCCCAGGTGGAGAGGAGGATAGAGCAAAAAGAGGTTTCTTTTCTCCCCTACAGTTTATTTTGGTAACAGCCCTTTATCAGATACGTCTTTTGCAAATAGTCTCTTTCTCGTCCTTGGCTCATCTTCTAAATATACTGCCAGTGTCATCCACAGACCAGAAATTTTTAATTTTAATAAAATATGGTGTGGATAAAATTGCAACATTTCCAGAATCTCTATTTTTTTTTTTAATCAATAACTTTATTTTTTAGAGAAGTTTTAGATTCACAGCAAAATTGAGCCAAAAGTACAGAGTTCCTGTACACCCACTGTCTCACACACTGCCTCCCCTGCTATCCACATTCCCCTCCAGAATGGTACATTTGAACCTACATTGACACATTATTACCCAAAGTTTACATTAGGGTTCACCTCGGTAATGTACATTCTCTGGGTTTTGACACGTGTGTAAGGACATGAATCCAATAGTTTCACTGCCCTGAAAATCCTCTGTGCTCTGCCCATTCACCCCTCCCTCCCCACTAACCCCAGCAATCACTGCTTTCTTTAACCTCTCCATAGTTTTATCTTTTCCAGAATTTTGTGTAGTTGGAATCCTACAATATATAGCTTTTTCAGACTGGCTTCTTTCACTTAGTAAAATGCAGTTAAGTTTCCCTCATGTCTTTTTATGGCTTGATAGCTCCTGTCGTTTTAGTCTGAATACCATCCGTTGTCTGGATGTACTACAGTTTATTTATCCATTCACCCACTGAAGGACATCTTGGTTACTTCCAAGGTTTTGGCAATTATGAATAAAACTGCTATAAACATCCTCGTTAGATTTTTATGTGGATTTAAGGTTTTCAAATCACTTGGATAAATACCAAGAAGTGGGATGGCCAGACTGTACATTAAGAGAATGTTTATTTCGTAAGAAACTGCCAAACTGTCTTCCAAAGTGGCTGCACCATTTTGCATTCCCACCAGCAATGAATGAAAGTTCCTGTTGCTCCACATCCTCACAGGCATTGGGTGGTATTAGTGTTTTGGGCTTTTGCCATTCTAGTAAAGGTGTAATGGTATCTCATTGATGTTTTAATTTGCATTTATTTACCTGTGACCTATGTGGAGCATCTTTTCATATGTTTATTTGCCATCTCTGTATCTTCTTCTTTGTTTTAACTTCATGAACCTGCGTGTCATCCCTGCACAGCAGCCATGCTAATCTTCTCTGTATATCATTCCAGTTTTAGTATATGTGCTGCCAAAGTGAGCGCCCTGTACCTTCTTCAGTGAGGTATCTGTGCAGATCTTTTGCCCATTTTTTTTCATCAGGTTTGTTTACTTATTGAATTTTGAAAGTTCTTTGTATTGTATGGGTTCAGAATACATCACCCCCAAATAGGCTACTTTGGCTTAAGTATTATTTTCAGGTAATTGAGAAGAGGCAGATACAGGAAAAAAAAATCTCTGCTGTTCCCACTCTACCAGGAAAGGCAGGCTGATTCTTGATCACCAGAGACTCTTCTCAGCCAGACACTGAGCAGAATCTACTTAACAAACCTCACTGAACAACCCTTATCCTCCATTAGTTTCCCCCTACATTGACGCCACCACAGTTCGCCTTTCCTCGGAGCCTGAGTTCTTCTTCCTTTGCGTTGCCACTTCTCCAGAAATATACTGTCTTTGTTAAATTTTTTTATGAGCCCCAGGTTCTAACCACCCCTTTGAGTTGCTCACCACTGAGGTTTCTCCTGCATGTTAGTAAAACTCTATTTGTTTTTCTCTTTTGTCAGTTTAATTTCCAGGGCCCCAGGTGGAGAGGAGGATAGAGCAAAAAGAGGTTTCTTTTCTCCCCTACAGTTTATTTTGGTAACAGCCCTTTATCAGATACGTCTTTTGCAAATAGTCTCTTTCTCGTCCTTGGCTCATCTTCTAAATATACTGCCAGTGTCATCCACAGACCAGAAATTTTTAATTTTAATAAAATATGGTGTGGATAAAATTGCAACATTTCCAGAATCTCTTGCTTGGCTTTAGTGCATCTCCATATCGATAGGTGTTTCCAAGGGGTGGAGAGTAGTAGTCCATTTCCCTATCAGAAGGTAATTACAAGGGGGGAGCAGGCCATATCTGGGCTACAGAGGTGGGGTGGGGCCCTTTTTTTTTCTGCAGCCAGGTCGTGAGAGACAGGAGTGAGCAGAAGTGGACGACTGCTTGTAAGCAATAAACATGTTTCTCCCACTTTATTTCTTCCTTTGACTGATTTCGGTTTCAAAAGTATTTTGCCCCAGGCTGGGAGAATAGTTTCCCCCAGGAGTTATATATGGCTGACCAGTTTTTTACTTTCATGGTTTGTACCTGTGGTGCTTTATCTAAAAAGTTATCACTGTACCCTAGATCATTTGGTTTTCTCCTGTTATCTCCTAGAAGTTTTATAATTTTGATTTTAAAGTCTATAATCCATTTTGAGTCAATTTTTGTGAAGGGTGTAAGGTGTGGGTCTAAATTTGCTTCTTTGCATGTGGATATCCTAAATTAAGTTTTAAAAAGTAGATATTTTTCCTTGATTACAAAGTGCATGCTCAATGTGGAAATTTCTTAAAAAATAGATAAATAGGAGAAATTTGAAATCATGACTGTTAACGCTTTGATGAATTGTCAATTAGTCCTTTCTAATATGCATCTAACATTTTTTACCTTGCTTCTTTCATCTGGACATTATAACGTGACCACTTTCCTTGTATTATCAAAAACTCTTTGCAAATACAATTTTAATTGTCTCATTTGGTCTAAGTAGATCATGTCTTACCATTTACTTAATTTCTCTATTGCTGGCATTTCTCATTTCTAACTTCTATCACACTCCTGCGATGAACATTTTTGCTCAGAAAGCCTTTTTCTCCCCTGCGTTTCAAGTTATTTCTTTAGGATAGAGCCCCATCAGTAGGCTTATGGAGTCGCAGGGTAGGGGATTTGGATAATGCTAAGCTCTTAATACATAATGTCAGTTTGCTTTCTGGGATGCTTGTACCAATTTACAATCCCATCAGTGAGGAATAAATGTATCTCTCCACTCAAGTTTTACCATTCCTGTACAGTGAGCGTTGTTTACAAATCTTTGCTTATTTGATAGGTGAAAAATCATACACAGTTGCTGTAGTTACATTTCACCGTTTACTTGTGAGGTTGAACAAATGGCAGTCAAATGTCCATTTGGTCCATTTGTTAGCCATTGGTGGTATATTTTATTTGTAAATTTATGTTCATAAATTTGCCATATAAGCCACTGTCTTAGCCAAATTGCTAGATGTTTGTTGGTTTGTTATTTTTAGGAAAACTGGAACAGCTTACATAAGAAAGATATTGCAACATAACACTCCTGAAGGATTTTTGTCCTCGGTTATTGCAGAAATTATAAACCCTTTTGGAGTAGAAGAAGTGAATGAGAGCTCTTGTTTGTATAGTTCCCTTTCCATTCATCATGCTGGGAATTTCTCCTATAGGCTTACTCTTCAATTACAAAGTAAGTGTAATAATATAATACATCTTTGATGGCTAGAAAAAAATGAAAAATTATCTTTTAGGAAGACTGTTCATGCTTAGTTATATAAAGTAGACTTCAAAAATTTAGTCCAATGGCAATCTAAAGAAGTCTACATATGCTTGGGCTCCTGGAGGAACTTATTAGTTCTAACATAATAAAACCTAACTATAATTTAATTGATATTTCATCAATAGTAGCACATATCATTTATTCCTATGATGTTATTTTATCTTAAGCAGTATTCGGAAGTGGGAGCAAAAGGAAGTTTGTACATTTTTATATAAAAATAGAATTTTATTTTAAATAGTAAAATAATTTTGAATCACTGTTAGGTAGGATATTTTTATTTCAAAGGATTATATGATAGATACATAGCAAAAGTCAGTATTATTTATTGTAAGGATTTGGGTTTTACTCTGGATAATTGGGAAGCCATTGGAGGATTCTGAGCAGAAAGTGACTTGATTGGACTTATTTTTTAACAAGATCACTTTGGTTCCTGTGTTGAGCACAGACTGGGCAGGTGGTAATAGGGGCAAGAAGGAAAGCAGAAAAATCAGTTAGGCAATTGCGACAATCAGGTGAGAGATTGGGATGCCTGTTACTCATTCAAGTGGAGAAATGAGGTGAATATTTAGAAAGACAAATTTGGAGTTCAGGAAAAACACCTGGACTGGAGAAATCAATCTGAGCAGTCAGTATATGTATGATGGTTAATGCTATGAAACCAGATGAGGTCACCTGGCAACTGAGTGTAAATACAGAGAGGGAAAGGCCTGCCGTCCAATCCCTGGCATTTCAACGAGTGGTCAGGGAGACGGGAAAGAATCAGGAAGGAGTCTGGACGGTCTTCTCGGAGAAGAACTCAGAGAGAGTGTACCTGAGAAGCCGGTGAAGAAGGTGTTTCCACGGGGGCCTGCTCCTTACCGAGATGCTCAGATAGGTCAGGTCAGTCAGTAAAGGAACTGGCCAGTGGATCTGTGTGGAACCTTGAAAAAAGCTGCTGTTGGGTGGAGTGTAGACAAGTCTTAATTGGATTCGGTTCAACAAATTATGAAAGGAGAGGAACTGAAAAACACTGAATACAGGCAACTCTTCCAAAAGAGTTTCACTATAAAGGTGAAGAAATTATGTGGCAGTTCACCTTACTATTAGATAAATAATTTAATAATAAATAATAATTTACTAAATAAATTCTTAGATAAATAATTCTAAAATAACAGAGGGGTCATAGGAAAGGAATCTTATTGTTTGTTTTTAAGGGAGCAATTAGAGTGCATGTACATAATAACGAGAATTAAGAGGTTCTCTTCTTACTTCTTCTATTTATTTTTTTCAGAATGAGTACCGTAATTGTTCGTTATGTTTCAGGACCTTATCAAAAACATTTGATAATGACGCCCTCCCTCTCCTTGAAACCGCCTTCTTCGGGCTTCCCTCGAACTCTTCCGTCATTTCTTCTTTGTCTCCTTTGTGGAATCTTTTTTTCCCTTCCCTTTCCTCACACGAAGGTGTTCATTATGGTCCTGCCCCCGAGTCTTTTTCTCCTAAACCTTCACACTCTCCCTAAACAATCAATTATTCATCCATTCAGCAATATTTATGTAATAGGCAGACTGTTCGCCTCTGGGGAAACAAAGTGTAATGGCTTACATTATTGTTGCCCTGTAGAATCGCAATGAAGACCCTAGGATATTAAGGCCCTTGCAGTTCTCTGGTAAAGAAATCAGCTTTCTTAAAATTACTTAGCCCTACGTGGGATTTTTTTTCCCTGCCGAGAATTTTATAGAATTCGTGTCATATAGGTTTGTGCTTGACATATTCGTGAGACGCTTTCTACAAAATCATTCAAATTATAACCTGAAATCTGGCAAATGTGTTCTCTGGTTAAGACCAGAGTATAAAAACTCACATAGTATATTTATCAGTTATGTCTACCAGTGTTCTTGGAAACATGGGCTGTTTTATTTATAGCAAATCATTCCTGTTTTAGCTCCAGGTATTATTTCTTTATTTGAAGATTCGGATATAGAGAAGACTGTGGTGATTCCTGGTTACAGCAGCTTCCTCATCACAAGCATTATAGACGCTAACAATGCTTTAGCTATTGCTACCATGCCTGGGAGAGTACCTGACAAAATGACCTTTCTGAAAGACTCTTGGTTCTTATACAACTTTGGGCAAAGGAATGGACGAACATGGAATATATACGCAAGACCGTGTAATTACTATTTTCAGCAACATGATGACTCACTCTCCCTTAATGTCCTGAAATACATTGATCTGGGGAAATCCCATGCTTTTAAAGTAAAGGTCATACATAATACAAAAGGCAAGTTTGTTTGTTTTTTATTGGGAAACATTGAAAGGAGATGTTACTGCCTTTCTTGAATTTGAAATATGGTATTTGATATTTCCTTTATCTTCGGTTTACATAATACTCTTATAATGACATACTACTAATAACAGCATTAGCTTCTAATTATTGAGCACTTATTATGTGCAAGGCTCTGTATTAAATTATTTTTATATACTTTTAATTTAGTGTTTATAACCCTTAAAGTCTAGATTACAAATCTCATTTTACAAATGGGAACAATGAGATTAAGTTACCAGCCCCAGTTTACACTGGATTTTGGGTAAGATTTTTTTCTGTCCTCCAAAAAGAAAACCTTTTAATTACCTTGGTATTGTTATAATTATTTCAAGTATTCATTTTAAACCAACAAATGGCTCTTAAATAGAATTCTATGCTTTCCTCATTTTTCCAGGTATTTATTTACTACAAAAGTAATACAACACTTATTAAAGACGATGGAGAAATGGCACACTGGAAAAAAGTTTTCTTCGTAGGTAACTGAGCTTGAAAAAGAGGAAGGAAAGATGGAAGGAAGGGAAGGAAAGAGAAGAAAATCCTGTCACCAGAAATGAAGAGGGAACTTAAAGCCAAAGAAATAAGCTAATATGTGACTCCCTGAAGGATGCGAGGCCCAGATATAGTCCCCATTCAGGCAGTGGGATGGGTTTTAGTGCTCAAGCATTTGCAGAAGATACTTTGTGGTAGGAAGTTAGAACTGAGGCCATTTAGTACAGCTGGACGGTCAAATAGTGAAGAGGAGATTAGGAAAACTCTGCCCACCAACCAAAGAAGGAGCTCGGGGGATTACCATTTCCATGGGACACAAAGTGAGGAAAAAGAATCTTCTATAAAAAATCCAAACTCTAAGACTATGTAATACCCAGAGACTATGTACCAGATGCAGGAATCCCAAGATGATAAATAATTCTAACAACTGGGCCCCAGTTTAAGTAAGCACAAAACCACCCAGATAACATGGACTTTCATGGAAAAAAATCAATCCCCATTGAACATGAATTGAGGAAAAGAATTGTTGAAGTATGTTTGGAAATGACCCAATGTAAGAGTCAATATGCATAGGGAACAGAAAAATTTCATCTCCAAGAACTTGTGATAATAAAAAAATCAGAAGGAAACTATGAAATATACTTAAAACTCCTGAAGATATTAAAGAAGATATATGAATCACAATGAAAGAACAAAACACTGTTTTTTTAAAAGACTTATTTGAAAAACAGAAACAAATACAATTTATATAAAAGAAAATGATAGACTTTGAAAAGTAATTGGAGAACGTCTATTTCTATTCCCAACAATATTGGGGCTAAATATTCTGGAAAAACTTCTGAAATCCTTAGAATCCCTTCTCATTGATTATGTGACTAATTGTCCATATTTCCTTCAAGTAATTTTATGGTTTTACTTTCATGGTTTTAATTTTCCATCTAATTCTTTGATCCAGATTTTATTTTGGTGTTGATCTAGATTTTATTGTAGGTGGTTGTTAGTTGTTCCAACAACACTTATGTAAGAGTCCTTTCTTAACTAATTTCAAAATACAACTTTATCTTAGGACAGATTACCTATTATTTTAACCATTTCTGAATTTTAAAATTCTGTTCCTTTGTTATCCCTTTATATTCCAGCACAAACCCCAGCACAAATCCATGAACATGGATTTCTTTCCATTTATTTGTGTCTTCTCAATTTCCTTCACTGACATCTCATACTTTTCTCATGTAGTGATCTTTCACCTCCTTGGTTACATTTATTCCTAGGTATATTTTTTAATGCTTTTATAAATGGGATTATTTCCTTCATTTCTCTTTCAGATAGTTCTGTGATTTTTTCTTAATTTCCCTTTCTATTCACTAGAAATGTATAGAAATGCAACTGATTTTTGAATTTTGATTTTGTATCCTGTAATTTTACTGAACTTGGTTATTCTAACAATTTTGGGTGGGGTCTTTAGGTTTCCTATTTATAAGATCATGTCATCTACAAACAAGCAGTTTTACAAAAATTGCTACAAAAAAGCAATTTTACTTCCCCCTTTCTGATTTGAATGCCTCTTACTTCTTTTTCTTGCCTAATTGCTCTGGGTAGGACTTCCATACTATATTCATTGGAAGTGGCAAGAGTGGTTATCCTTGTCTTGTTCCTAATCCTAGAGAAAAAGTTTTAAGATTTGAGTGTGTTGAGTATGTTACCTATGCATTTGTCATATGTGGCCTTTACGGTGTGAAGGACATTCTTTCTATACCTAATTTGTTGAGAGTCTTTATCATGAATAGATGTTGAATTCTGTTAAGCACTTTTTTTGCATCTACTGAGATGATCAATGATTCCTACCCTTCATTCTATTAATGTGGTATATTGCATTAGAGACCTGAGTAGCTAAAGCAATCTTGAGAAAGAACAAAGTTGGAGACATTACACTTACTGATTCAAACTATATTACCAAGTTATATAGTATTAATACTGTATTAATCAAAACATTACGGTGCTGGCATAAAAACAGACACATAGAACAATGGAACAGAATAGGGAGACCAAATGAACTCATGCATATGTAGTCCACTGATCCTTGACAATAGTGCCAAAACACAATGGGGAAAGGATAGTATCTGCAATAAATGGTGTTGGGAAAGCTGGATAACCACATACAAAACGATGAAACTGAACCCCTATTTTTACCACTTACAAAAAACAACTCAAAATGGATTAAAGACTTAAATGTGAGACCTGAAACCATAAAACTAGGAGAAAACATAGGGGGAAAGCTCTTTAATATTTGCCTTAGCAATATTATTAGAATGACACCAAAATTAAAGTCAACAAAAGCAAAAGGAAATAAATGAGACTATGTCAAATTAAAAAGCTAGTACTCAGCAAAGGAAACAATCAACAAAATGAAAAGGTAACCTATGGAATGGGAGAAAATATTTGCAAACCATGTATCTGATAAGTTAGTACCTAAAATATATAAGGGAATTCATCAAACTCAATAGAAAATAATAATAATAATCCAATTTTAAAATGGGCAAAGGACCTGAATAGACATTTTTCCCAAGAAGACATACAGATGGCCAACAGGCAAATGAAAACATGTTCAACATCACTAATTATCAGGGAAATGTAAATCAAAACCGTAATGAAATATCTCCTCACACCTGTTAGAATGGCTATTATCAAAAAGGCAAGAGATAACAAGAGCTGGCAAGGATGCGGAGAAAAGGGAACCCTAGTGCACTGTTGGTAGGAATGTAAATTGATTTGGCCTCTATGGAAAACAGTATGGAAGTTTCTCAAAAAACTAAAAATGGAACTACCACATTATCCAGCAATCTCACTTCTGTGTATGTATCGGAAGGAAATAAAATCAGTATCTCAGAGAGATATCTGTAATCCTGTGTTCACTGCAGCATTACTCACAATAGCCAAGATGTGGAAACAATCTAAGTGTCCATAGGTGGATAAATGGATAAAGAAAACATGGTATATATGTGCAATGGAATATTATTCAACCATAAAAGGAGGAAATTCTGCCATTTATAGCAACATGGATGAACCTGGAAGACTTGCTGAGTGAAATAAGTCAGACAAAGAAAGGCAAATACTGCATAATCTCACTCATCTTAATAAAAAAAGTCTGACTCACAGAAATAGAGAATAGAATGCTGGTTTCCAGGGCTGGTGGGGAGGGGAAATATGCAGATATTGGTCAAGGGTACAAACTTACAGCATGGAGACTATAGTTAATAATACTATATTGTATACTTGAAATAATGTAACAGTAAATCCTAAGTGCTCTCACCACACACATAAACACACACAAAGGGTAACTGTGAGGTAGTAGAAGTGTTATTGTGGTAATCATTTCAAAATATATACATATATCAAATCATCCCATTATATACTTAAATATATATAACTTTATTTGTAAGTTATGCCTCAATAAAGTTGGAGGGGAAAATATGGAATCTCAGCACCCACCTCAGATCTGCTAAGTCAGATCTTCTGAACAGAATACCCAGTTCTTTATGAAGCACTAGCCAGATAATTGTGGTTTCAGGGTAACTACTGCAGAAGACCCTTCATGCAAATCCTTTACTGCTACTCAGTCCTGACTTACTGATTAGTGAAGATTGCACTGACATCTCATACTTTTCTCATGTAGTGATCTTTCACCTCCTTGGTTACATTTATTCCTAGGTATATTTTTTAATGCTTTTATAAATGGGATTATTTCCTTCATTTCTCTTTCAGATAGTTCTGTGATTTTTTCTTAATTTCCCTTTCTATTCACTAGAAATGTATAGAAATGCAACTGATTTTTGAATTTTGATTTTGTATCCTGTAATTTTACTGAACTTGGTTATTCTAACAATTTTGGGTGGGGTCTTTAGGTTTCCTATTTATAAGATCATGTCATCTACAAACAAGCAGTTTTACAAAAATTGCTACAAAAAAGCAATTTTACTTCCCCCTTTCTGATTTGAATGCCTCTTACTTCTTTTTCTTGCCTAATTGCTCTGGGTAGGACTTCCATACTATATTCATTGGAAGTGGCAAGAGTGGTTATCCTTGTCTTGTTCCTAATCCTAGAGAAAAAGTTTTAAGATTTGAGTGTGTTGAGTATGTTACCTATGCATTTGTCATATGTGGCCTTTACGGTGTGAAGGACATTCTTTCTATACCTAATTTGTTGAGAGTCTTTATCATGAATAGATGTTGAATTCTGTTAAGCACTTTTTTTGCATCTACTGAGATGATCAATGATTCCTACCCTTCATTCTATTAATGTGGTATATTGCATTAGAGACCTGAGTAGCTAAAGCAATCTTGAGAAAGAACAAAGTTGGAGACATTACACTTACTGATTCAAACTATATTACCAAGTTATATAGTATTAATACTGTATTAATCAAAACATTACGGTGCTGGCATAAAAACAGACACATAGAACAATGGAACAGAATAGGGAGACCAAATGAACTCATGCATATGTAGTCCACTGATCCTTGACAATAGTGCCAAAACACAATGGGGAAAGGATAGTATCTGCAATAAATGGTGTTGGGAAAGCTGGATAACCACATACAAAACGATGAAACTGAACCCCTATTTTTACCACTTACAAAAAACAACTCAAAATGGATTAAAGACTTAAATGTGAGACCTGAAACCATAAAACTAGGAGAAAACATAGGGGGAAAGCTCTTTAATATTTGCCTTAGCAATATTATTAGAATGACACCAAAATTAAAGTCAACAAAAGCAAAAGGAAATAAATGAGACTATGTCAAATTAAAAAGCTAGTACTCAGCAAAGGAAACAATCAACAAAATGAAAAGGTAACCTATGGAATGGGAGAAAATATTTGCAAACCATGTATCTGATAAGTTAGTACCTAAAATATATAAGGGAATTCATCAAACTCAATAGAAAATAATAATAATAATCCAATTTTAAAATGGGCAAAGGACCTGAATAGACATTTTTCCCAAGAAGACATACAGATGGCCAACAGGCAAATGAAAACATGTTCAACATCACTAATTATCAGGGAAATGTAAATCAAAACCGTAATGAAATATCTCCTCACACCTGTTAGAATGGCTATTATCAAAAAGGCAAGAGATAACAAGAGCTGGCAAGGATGCGGAGAAAAGGGAACCCTAGTGCACTGTTGGTAGGAATGTAAATTGATTTGGCCTCTATGGAAAACAGTATGGAAGTTTCTCAAAAAACTAAAAATGGAACTACCACATTATCCAGCAATCTCACTTCTGTGTATGTATCGGAAGGAAATAAAATCAGTATCTCAGAGAGATATCTGTAATCCTGTGTTCACTGCAGCATTACTCACAATAGCCAAGATGTGGAAACAATCTAAGTGTCCATAGGTGGATAAATGGATAAAGAAAACATGGTATATATGTGCAATGGAATATTATTCAACCATAAAAGGAGGAAATTCTGCCATTTATAGCAACATGGATGAACCTGGAAGACTTGCTGAGTGAAATAAGTCAGACAAAGAAAGGCAAATACTGCATAATCTCACTCATCTTAATAAAAAAAGTCTGACTCACAGAAATAGAGAATAGAATGCTGGTTTCCAGGGCTGGTGGGGAGGGGAAATATGCAGATATTGGTCAAGGGTACAAACTTACAGCATGGAGACTATAGTTAATAATACTATATTGTATACTTGAAATAATGTAACAGTAAATCCTAAGTGCTCTCACCACACACATAAACACACACAAAGGGTAACTGTGAGGTAGTAGAAGTGTTATTGTGGTAATCATTTCAAAATATATACATATATCAAATCATCCCATTATATACTTAAATATATATAACTTTATTTGTAAGTTATGCCTCAATAAAGTTGGAGGGGAAAATATAGAATCTCAGCACCCACCTCAGATCTGCTAAGTCAGATCTTCTGAACAGAATACCCAGTTCTTTATGAAGCACTAGCCAGATAATTGTGGTTTCAGGGTAACTACTGCAGAAGACCCTTCATGCAAATCCTTTACTGCTACTCAGTCCTGACTTACTGATTAGTGAAGATTGCTGTTTGATTATGTGACATTTCAAATCTCTTTTTCCATTAAATTTCTCAGTGTGGAGAGATTGCAAACAGATGGCCTGCAGACAGAAACTGTCCTGAGGACAGACTATGCTAACTGCCTAGGAGTTTTTTCTTGGCAACAATTGACTGACAGTTCTTTAAGTCGAGCATGTAGTTTTCAGTTGCTTTACTGAGTTATTCAACTCAGTGTAACTAGTATTTTCCAGGTGATTTTTATGTGTATTTGAGAACTTGGCTGAGGAATGAGGAGAGAAATATTCCTGTAAGAAGATAGAAGAAAAGATTTGTGAAGTGTTCGTAATAGATTCTGTAGATGTTCTAGAATCCTTGATTAGCCAGTCATTATTAAATTGTTTAATATTTTCATGAATTAATATTAACTGTTGGCCTTGTTTCCAAAGGTATTCGAACACTTGAAATTCCATTACTGAAAGTAATTGTTGGAAACCCGAATTTGTTGGAAGTTAAAGCTGAAGGGTCTTTTGATGATACTGATAGTTATCAAGTGGAAATTTCTGCAGCTAGCAAAGTTTTACGTCACGTAAGATTTTCTTTAATTACCAAAAAATCTATTACTATAGAAAATTTAGAATACAAGAAAAAGAAGGGAAAATTACACATAATCTTACTTATAAAGGATGACTGAGCAATTTTTAAATTTTGGGTATTACAGAAATTGCAGTGTGGCAGTGCCAAATAGAGGTTGAAGAGTGAGATTTGGAGAACGCTGCCTGGTTTACGTCTCATTTCTGGCAGTGCCCGTGAACTTGGGAGAGTTAACTTTACTGTGTCTAAGTTTCTTCATCAGTAAAATGGAGATGACAATGAGAATACCTATCTCATAGGGAGGCTTTGAGAATTAATTGTGATAATTCAAATAGGGCATCTCAAACAATGTCTGGCACTTAGGAAATGCTCAATCACTGTGAATTTACAGTATTTTCCTATAGCTGGAGAACATCATATATACTCTTTTGAAAATTTGCTCCTTCCACTTAACTGTATGGTTTAATCCTTTTGAGTCAATAGTTATTTTTCTACATATTCTAATTTTTTTTTTATCGTAGAGACTTTCTGATATAGACAAAAGTAGAATTTCCCATACACCTACTACTCAAATTAAACAGTAGTGTTAACACTCTGCTATTCTTGTTTTATCATACCTATCTGATATTTTTGTTTGTTTATAATCTGACATTTTAAAGTGAATAGTAAACATCATGCCATTTCATTCCATGTATGCTCCAATATCCATCCCTAAAAAAAGTATGTCTATTATCTCATACAACCACAGCACCATTATCATGCCTAAAGCCTTTTAAAGTAATTTTTGGGATCCTATAAAAACCAGCCCATAATCAAATTTCCCAAGTTTTTTATACTTGGTTTGTTTGAATTTGAATTCAAACAAGACTCACTCATTATGTGGTTGTTTTCTCTAAGTCTCTTTTAATCAGGGGCAGATACTGCTCCATTTTCTCCTCCTGAATTGTAGAAATGGGGCCAGTCGTGTTAGAGAATGTCCAACATTCTGGGCTTTGCTGTTTGCTTCCTCGTCTCTTATTTAACTTGTGCCTCCCCCCACTTCTCATATTTCCTTTAATAGTAGAACCCTGCTTGGATTCTGATTCAATGTATTTTGGCAAAATTTCACTGAAAACATCATTTTACTAGTTACCAAGTATAGAGATAGGGGCAAAACAACCAGTTCCAGGGTCTACGACATCACTACAATTATCAGTGTTTCTGCTTTTTTTTTTAAGTTCCAAAAATATTTTAAAATTTCAAAAATTTATCTAATTTTGTCAAATGTTTAATATTGTTCAAGGTTCAAATACATGTGTTTTGCATGAATTTTTACTGAAAATATATCTTTGTGAAACGCAGTGATTGCTAAGTGAATAACTTCTCAGAGTGTACACTAATCGACGTTAGTTTATTCCTGTCGTCAGAATGAATATCCAGGTGGAAACCTCAGCAGTCTGAGTTGGATGGTGTTTGTTTCATAAGAACTTCTTGATCCCTGCTCATTTCCAGTGCTGCCTACAACCAATAGACTGGAATGTATTCTGTCTGGAAAAGAACATGCTTTCTGTTACGATTTATTCTCAAACAGATCTTTGTGGTCAAACTTATTACTCCACTTCTATTTTCAATCACTCTCTCTTTTTTTTCTTTCTGTACTCTTTAGTTGGTTTATGTATTAGTTTGCTAGGGCTGCTGTAACAGAATACCACAGACTGAGTGGCTTAAACAACAGAAATTTATTTTCTCATAGTTTTAGAGGCTTGAAGTCTGAGACCAAGGTGTCAGCAGGACTGGTTTCTTCCGAGGCCTCCCTCCTTGGCTTATAGATGTCCATCTTCTGCCTGTTTCTTCACTCCCACTTCCCTCTGCGTATGTCTGTTCAAATCTCCTCTGTTATAAGGACACCGATCATACTGAATTGGGTCTGCCCTCCTGACTTAAATTAAGTCATGAGGTCCACCCTTCTAACTTAATTAAGTTTTCAAAGGCCCTATCTCTAATACAGTCACATTTTGAGTTACTGGGGCTTAGGACATCCACAAATGAAGTTTGCGTGGACACAGTTCAGCCTAGAACATTTAAATAACCTTCATTTATTTGGCTATTCCTAGGGTTCAACTTCGCTGGCATTAATTGTCTGGGGAGCATCAACTGAGTGCTTTGTTACAACAATCGTGCCAACATTGAAAAGCAGCTGTAGTTATCTCAAATCTATGCATCACATTCCTAGTAAAATTATCCCACTGGAAGACTGGATTAGCGGCATTCACAAAGACAGGCAGGGTTTTAATCTGATCAAAACATTGCCGGTAAGCAATGAAGGAGATTGTTTTAAGGGTACCAGTGATGTATTACTTTTGTGTAGTTGGCTGGCCATTTAATCTTTGAATTTCTTTCCTGAGATGCTTAAACACTTCAGTTATTCTTCAATCTTTGTCATTTTGAGGATTACTTATTTCTAAATGTAAAAACTTTCTGAAGAAATGATTTTTCTTGGTAACTTAGTCTCATTATTATTAATACCATTTCAAGTTATATTATGGTGGCATACTCTTGGGCTTTTGTGATATGTACCATTATTTGCCATTATGTTGGCCTGTCCTGAGCTGATATATCTTACTGGTCTCATTTTAATGAGGTAACAATTTTAACTTTTGCCTTGTCAGAATCTGTGGGTTTTTAAAAATATAAATTATTGTTCTTTGCTAACTAATTCATTACTTATAACTCGTGACAAAAAGGAAATAGCCAAACTTGAAGAGTTATTTACTAAATATGTCACTATGGCTCTTTATAAGGTGTTAAAACTTTATTGCATTTAGTTTATAGCAGCTATTTTAGGTGCTAATTTTTTTTCACTTACTAAAGTTCCAAGTTGCAGTACCAGGGGTTGAGGTTGTTAGAATTCCAAATAATAAGAGATAGTGAGTGTAAAGAGAATAAAAATTTACTTAAATACCTGGAGCTAAAAATGAAATACTTGCTTTAAACGCTTTCCTGGGAAATTAAGATATTTAAATTAAGACTTAATAAATAATATACATTTTCTTTGTTTAATTACTTACAGGTAAACTACAGGCCTCCATCCAATATGGGAATTGCTATTCCACTCACAGAAAATTTTTACCATGCAGATCCCAGCAAACCCATTCCAAGAAATTTATTTCACAAGTCAAAGGTAAGTAATTTTCTACAAATTATGTAGTATTTATTTGAATTCAAGAAATCATTCCATAAAATTACAGAGGGACCTAGCTGCAGGGATGAGATGGGAAGTGCATTCTGCACAGTATCCCAGCTGCCCTAATAGCCAGCACTTACTATTATTTTCCCTGTTTCTCCTTCTATTGTTCTACTCCCCCCGCCCCTCCTTTTACTGCTACTTCTCCAATCAGGATATGATTTTGGAACCTACGTCTAAAGAAGTCTAAAGGGACCCTTTCTGTGCTGACCTCGTCCTGGCTCCCCATTGGATTTCAGAGGGAACTGGAGGGATGAGAGCATCTTTTCTCAAATGAAGGGAGGCTCCAGGCCCCTCTCTTGCCTCTAGTCCTGTGGAAGAAATGGTGTCCAAAAGGAGAGAAGAACGTTTGCTCCAAAACAGGCACATTTAAAACTGCAGAACTCTAGTTTTGCCTAGAAAATAATCCCAGCCCAGCAGCCCTCTGACCCTCTAGAGGGAACACAGGGAGACCATTAGATTCGGATGAGGAGTACATTATGGGGCGACTTCCCAAGGAAACCTCATAGACGCCTGTGAATCTCTCTCCAGGGAAACACGTCTAACTGCCTGTATTCAAACAGACATGGGCATCGATTCATGTACATGCACACATGCATGAAAACATATAGTGGTTGCTTCAGTTGTTCAGAACTCTCCATTGTCTTCTCATCTCAGAGTAAAAGCCAGATGCTTACATGATTAATAAGGTTCTCCATGATTTGGCNGCCACATTGGCCTTCTTACTATTTTTTAAAAATATGCCAGACATATTTCCACTTCAGGGCTTTTGTAGCTGCAAAAAGTTCCTCTCTGTGAAATGCTCTTCTGCTAGATGTCACATGACTCACTACATCACTATCAACTATCACTGTGAGGCCTGCCTTCACCCCTCTATTTACTACTTGAACCCCCCACCTCCATTGTTACCCATACCCTGTTACCCTTCGCTGCCTTATTCTGCTTCACCACATTCATTACAATTATATGATTTTTATCCAGTTGATTTATTGTATTTCATAAAAAAGTTAAGCTACATAAGACAAGATTGTTATTGGTTGTTGTTGTTTTCTTAAATCTATTTTAATCCCTATTGTATCTCTAGTACCTAGAAGCAGTGCTTTAAAATTGTTGAACAAACAAATAATACACCTTTATATGTATGTTGTCACACACACACACACACACACACACACACACACACGAGGAAATTGACTTCTTGTTGAATCTTGGCTTTCAGGATAAGAAGCTCTGCTCCAGACAATAAGCAATTATAATAATTCTTCTTCAATTCCAGTTTTTCTCAGACATAGACCCTGTTGTGTCACTAGAATCTCCTCTGTTGAAATATGACTTTTCTATATTTATAAGGAAATCCTTAGTTTTTTTTTCAATTTTTCTTGGGAGTTGACTATAAACTGTATCTAACTTATACCTAAGTAAAAAAATAGCTTTTTAATGTACATTTTATGCATTCAAAAATGTTAATTTCAGCATTTTCAGCTCTACCAGGCATTGTACAGACAGACATTCTCTAAGGTACAGCAATAAATAAGATATACATGATACTTTCATGGATCTTTTCTCTCATGGGGGAGAATAAGAATTAAGCAAAATGTTTTACAAATTAAGTAGTGTCATCTAGCGCAGGGTTTCTGAACAGTAATGGCCCTGCATAACCTGAACTAGAATTATCAGGGAATAGTTTTACAATGCAGCTTCCTCAATCTTATCTAATAGCCACTGAATCAGAAACTATGGGTGCAGTCCTGAAATCTGCATTTAAAAAAAAATCTCTTGGTGAGTCCTTATTTACCTTAAAGTATAAGATAGACAAGTAGTGGAGGTGGACACCAAACATGCAATATGACTGTGGATCAGGGATGCCTAACACGCTCTGAGGGGGCCAGGCTGAAAGGTGAGTCGGGGTTAACCAAGCCAAGGAAGAGGGAAGAGGAAGAAAGAGTCGGGGAAGAGGGAGACAGAGCACTCTAGGCCGAGGAAATACCACGCACCAAGGGCGAGATGGGAAAGGGCTCAGCGTCTTTGAAGAACTCAGAGACCAGTAGGCTTGGAGGACAGGGAGCAAGAGAGGACGCTCGGTGAGGCTGGAGACAGCAGGCCCTGAGGCCTCGGGCTTTTGCAGGTCAGGGAAAGGATTTAGAGTTTTGTCCTAAGAGAAATCAAGAGCCATCCAAGGGCTTTAAGCAAGGGAGTGACATGTTTGTATATTTGTGTTTTAAAACACACATACTGTATTTTGTTAAGTGCAAAATAAAAGTTTGTATTTCAAAAAATAAGATTAGACCAATATGACAAACACCTATACCTTTCTCCTGGACAAAAATCCATGGAATATTGGTAAATGTATTTCCAAATTTAATACATCAGTGCAGGAAAATAGAAAAGAAAGAGTTCTATGCAGAGCCAGAAAATTTGAGAAAGTTCCAAAGACAGAAAACAAGCAGAATCAGAGATAGAAACCACAAGAGTGGTTGTGACCACAAGTGGCAGCAAAAACAAAACAAAGCAAACTGAAAAAACTAAACCAAAAAACCACACCCGGTCCCTAAAGAGAGGGTTCAAGAGAATTTCAACTCTAGACTCAAAGGATACACAGAGACAGGAAGGTTCTCAGGAGCACTGGTTAGAGAAAGTACAGCTAAGCTGGCTGGCCTTCCTTGTACAAACTAGAACCAACTTGTACCAAGATCCTGGAAGTTTCACCTGCATTCAGGGACCTGGTACACAGAGGCAGATCATGCCCCAGGGCAGCTGCTGACAACTGAGAGGAAGAGAGGAGTACAAGCCCCCCTTCCAGAAACTAAGAACTTAACACATTTCTCTTTGCAACCCATTTCCCCTAATTGCTGAAGACATTCTAGGGTCATCAGAACAAGGAGGCCAAAAGTTGGAGCAGATCACTCAAAATTTATGTAACTCTGTCTCCAAACACTTCAAAATATTCACATGCTGGGAAGAGTGCATATGAGCCAATGCTGTGACTCCTGTTACGCCAGCATCATCCCCTTACTAGATAATCACACATGACATCATTCCAAATATAGCGGTTAGGCTCTCAAGGATGAGAGATGACTCTAAAATGCCAAGCACTGAAAGAAAATTTACATAGTAAAAAAGAGGCATAGATCTCAACAATTTAAAAAACTGATGATTCAGAAAACAGAGTTACTATCATGGCTAGAAACAAACTTATTCTGAGTATAATTATTCCATAATGACTCAAGGACATATTGCAACTATGAAAACAATTGAAGATACCACACACACACACACACACACACACACACACACACACACACAAGCTATTAGAAATTAAAACTGTAATGTGAAACAGAGAGCTTAATAGGTTGGCTGAATACCTGAATGGACCTAACTAAAGAACAGATTAGTGAGATGAGAAATAAGATCTTTCAGAAACAGATTATCTGTTGGTAACACAGATCTATATGCCTAATATCAGAGCTTCAGAATGTAAAACCGTAACTGATAGAAATATAAGGAAAATTTGACAAATACGTAATAATAGTGAGAGGCTTTAACAGAATCCTTTCAGAAATGATCCTATCAAGCAGTCAAAAGAACAAGACTATAGAGGATTTGAATTTTATAGTCAGTACTCAGATTATATATACATATGTGTGTCTTTGTGTAAAACAGAATGCACATTCTTTTCAGTCCACAAGGAACATTCATACAAAGCGGCTGTTGATATTTTGTAATGAAGTCATAATGAATTCCAAAAGACTTAGTTCAGTCCCTTAGTACCCCCCGGCCTAAATCTCTGCCTAGTCTGATTTATGAACATAGTTGCAAAAATCCTAAATAAAATACTAGTGAATCAAATTCATCGATATGCTAACTGTAGTGTATCAGGAGACTAGATTTTCTCTAAGAATGTGAGAAAATTTGAGCATATAATAATATATAAAATAACTTACTTTATAAATGAATTAAAGGAAATAGCCTCAATAGAGGCCATAAACATATTTGATGCAATTTAACACCCATTTCTGATTAAGCTTCTGCAAACCAGAAACAAAAAAGATACTACCCAATCTAATAACTATCTGTGAGAAATCTGTAACAAACATCATATATAAAATTAAATATTGGAAGCATTCATGCTAAAATGCTTCTATTTCATTTTGTTCTGTAGGGTCTAGGCAGGGCAATGTGACAAAAATTAGTGAAATATCAATATATTGAAAGAAAAGAACAAAGTTGGAGGATTCACATTTCCTGATTTAAAAACTTACTATAAAACTGCAAAACCAAAACAGCGTGATACTGGCATAAGGATAGACATATAGATAAATAGAATATAACTGAGACTGCAGAAATAAACCCATATGTCTATAGTCAAGTGGGTTTTGAGAAAGGTGCCAAGGTTCTTCAAGGGGGAAAGAATAGGCTTTTCAACAAACAGTTCTGAGACAACTGGGAATCTACATCAATAGGATGAATTTGGACTCCTACCTCACACCATTTAAAAAAAATTAGCTCAAAATGGATCAAGAACCTAAACATAAGAGCTAGAACTAAAAAATTCATATAAAGAGATATAAGTGTAAATCTTTGCCACTTTGGATTAGGCAGGGGTTTAAGTATGACACCAAAAGTTCAAGCAACAAAAGACAAAAAGGACTTCATCAAAATTAAAAGCTTTAGTGTATGAATGTGTAACTTGGGGGGAAATCCCAGGGCACATACCTTTGAAACCGAAATCAGTCAAAGGGAGAAATAAAGTGAGAGAAACCCGTTTATTTTTTACAAGCAGTCCACTTCTGCTCTCCTGTGTCTCTCATGACCTGGCTGCAGAAGAAGAGGCCCCACCCAACCTCTCTGGTCCAGATAAACCCTCGCTACCCCTTGTAATGACCTCTTCATATGGAGGTGGACTATTACTCTCCACCCCGTGGGAATACCTACTGATATGGAGATGCACTGAGGCCAAGCAAGAGATTCTGGAAATATTGCAATTTTACCCACGGGATGAAAGGAAACTACTAAGAAAGTAAAAATACAACCATCCACGGAATGGGAAAAAATGTTAGCAAATCACATATCTGATAAAGATCTAGTATCCAGACTATATAAGGAACTCTTACAACTCAACAAAAGACAAACTACCAGTTAGAAATAGATGAGCCTGAATAGACACTTCTCCAAAGAAGATATACAGAAGGCCATCAAGCCCATGAAAAGATGCTCAACATTAGCTGTCAGGGAAATGCAATAAAAACCCCAATGAGATACCACTTCACACCCTTTAGCATACTTATAATAACTTTTTTTAATGGGAAACAACAGAAATTGGAACACGTATACATTGCTGATGGGAATATAAAATGGCATAGCTACTATTGGAAAATCATTTGGCAGTTCTTTAAAAGTTAATCATATAGAATTAACACATGACACAGTAATTCCACTCCTAGATAATATATCTGAAAGAACTTAAAATGATGTTCAAACAAAAGCTTCATAGAAGCATCATTCATAACAGCCAAAAAGGGGAAACAATGAGTTGTTCATTAACAGATGAATGAATGAATCAACAAAATATGCTATATCCATACAATGGAATATTATTCTGCCATTGAAAGGAATGAAGTATCGGTACATGCTACAACATGGATGAATCCCTATAGCAGTATGCTAAGTGAAAAAAGGTGGACAAAAAGGGCCTATATTGTATATTTCCATTTATACAAAATGTCCAGAATAGGAAAATTCATAGAGATACAAAATAAAGTAAGAAGCCAGGGCTGGGGAGTAACTACTAATGGGCACAGGATTTCTTTTTGCTGTGAAAAATGTTCTGAAATTAGATAATGGTGATGGAGTGAACAGCATTGTGAGTATACTAACAGAATTATCGCTTGAAAATGGTTAAAATAGTGAATTATTATCTCAATAAAAAGAAGAAAAAAATGAAGCTGGGCAAGTGGTAATCCTAAAAAAAGGTCAAAGGAAGGGTAACATTTTAAAAAATAGAGTTGATTACCAAAATCAAAAGCCATTCTTTAAAAAATTAATAAAGTAATCCATTTTCTAGTAAGAGTGATCAAATAAAAAATGAATGACAAATTGTCAGTTTTAGTGGATGATTTAAATCACATTAATGAGTGCTATGAGGAAAGACAAGTATGGAATAGTAGGTTGGAGAGTGTTCCATAGTCTACAACTCCATGATAGTTGTAGATCTGTTTTCTTGCCCTCAGTGGGCCAAGAAGCAAGTTTGCTGTTCCCTATCTGCTGCCTTCAGGATGACAGAGGCTTTGTAGGCCCCATGCATGTTAACCGTCAACTGCCCTGAACTTAACTGTCAGGCAGGTGAGTGGTACATGGGCTCAAATTACCAAGCAAGAAGACAAAATTCAGAAACACTTTCACTTTATTATTAATGGATTTTTCTTCCCTTTTGACTTCTTAGGGATTTTTATTCATTCAAGAAACAAGTACTTATTGAATATTTACTCAGTTTGCAGAAATCCTGCCACAAAACAGGGAAGTTAACTTACATCAATTCTTTTTGCAGAAATCTGGTAAATTCAAACAGTGTGCTAATGTGTCTACTCGGAAAGAGTGTAATTGCACAAATGATCAAAAGTTTTCACATGCTGTTGCTTTCTCAGATTGCAGAGAAAAGGTAAGATAATTTTTAATTACATGAAGACAGTACTTTCATATTAGTAAGATGTTGAAGACTTTTGGTGAAATAAGAAAAGTAAGAGAAATAACGTCTTATTGTGCCATAGAACTAAATATGACACAGAAATAAGAAGATCTGGGTATAAATGTCCCTAGACAAGTTAGTTAACCTCATTTGTACATAGAATAATGCCTGCACTGCCTGTTCATTTCACAGGATTCTTATTAAGATATATACATATACACAGATGCATGCACATATGTCTATATGAAAACAATTTGTAACCTGCCATACACTATATAATGATGAGTATCGATTCATTCAAAATATATCCAATGTGTCTTAGCTTCTTGGAAGACAGAAGTTGAAGACCTTGTAATCAAGGATCTCAGTCTGGTAGGGGTGACAAAACAGAATACAGTATAGTAAGTAGGTCAAGAGAGTGGGTTCTGCATCAAATATTTTCTTCTGTTAGTCTCCCAGCATTCAAAGGTGTATATTGTGGCTGTTGGTGTCTGCATTAGCTGAGTTAAGTGTGCACTTGGTGTAACTTTCAAGTTACAAAGGCCTTGTAAGAATATATAGCATTGTATTTAGTGATCTTATCTTTATATTGGCATAGAGTTAACACTCAATAAATTATGAAGGTTGTTATTATATACCTCTACAACACCTCCTTTGCTGAATCACAATAGTACACTATATTTCCTAAACACCGCTCTGAGCATTCTCCATGATTATCTCATTTAATTTGAGGCAAAGACAAGCCAGGTAGTTTGCCAAAGATCACATCATTAATGTATCATGGAACTAGATTTGAGTTTAAAGAGTACAATCATGACTAGCAGGGAAAAAGGTGTAAGGGAGATCAGTAAGATCCTGTTCATGCAGTACCTGGTGAGAAACGAGTGAGCCAAATCAGCGTGAATACCATCATAGCAAATTCCTGTGAAAAAGGCCAATAGAAAGTTATTAATTTTGTTCCCAAAATGTTGGTATATTACTTTTGGAACACACTTTAATTCTGCTATTCACAGATTTCTCTTTATTTTAAAATTTTATTTATTTATTTTAATTACAGTATCATTGTTATACAATCTTATGAAGGTTTCACATGAGCGACATTATGATTATTACATTCACCCATTTTATCAAGTCCCCTGCCACAGCCACTGCAGTCACTGTCGATCAGAGAAGTAAGATGCTATAGAGTCACTGCTGGTCTTCTCTGTGCTATACTGTCTTCCCTGTGGCACCTCTACATTATGTGTGCTGACATAATGCTCCTTAATCCCCTTCTCCCTCCCTCCCCACATACCCTCCCCAGCCCTTTCCCTTTGGAAACCGTTAGTCCCCTCTTGGAGTCTGTGAGTCTGTTGATGTTTTGGTTCTTCAGTTTAGCTTCATTGTTATACTACACAAATGAAGGAAATCATTTAGTACTTGTCTTTCTCCACCTGGTTTATTTCACTGACCATAATACCCTCTAGCTCCATCCATGTTGTTGCAAATGATTGGATTTGTTTTCTTCTTATGGCTGAATAATATTCCATTGTGTATATGTACCACATCTTCTTATCCATTCATCTACTGATGGACACTTAAGTTGCTTCCATATCTTGGCTATTGTAAATGGTGCTTCAATAAACATAGGGGTGCATATGCTTTTTTGAATCTGGGATCTTGTTTTCTTTGGGTAAATTCTGAGAAGTGAAATTCCTGGGTCAAATGGTATTTCTACTTTTAGTTTTTTGAGGAACCTTCATACTGCATTCCACAATGGTTGAACTAATTTACATTCCCAACAGCAGGTTGGAGGGTTCCCCATTCTCCACATCCTCGCCATTATTTGTTGTTCCTTATCTTTTCTATGTTGGCCATCCTAACTGATGTGAGGTGATATTTCATTGTGGTTTTAATCTGCCTTTCTCTGATAATTAGCCACGTGGAGCATCTTTTCATGTGCCTGTTGGCCATCTGAATTTCTTCTTTGGAGAAGTGTCTGTTCAAATCCTTGCCCATTTTTTAATTGGGTTATTTGCTTTTTGGGTGTTGAGACATGTGAGTTCTTTATATATTTTGGATGTTAACCCCTTGTCAGATATGTCATTTATGAATATGTTCTCCCTTACTGTAGGATGCCTTTTGTTCTGCTGATGGCATTCTTTACTATACAGAAGCTTTTTAGTTTGATGTAGTCCTATTTGTTCATTTTTGCTTTTGTTTCCCTTGCTCAAGGAGATGCATTCAGGAAAAAGTTGCTTATGTTTATATTCAAGAGATTTTTCCCTATGTTTTCTTCTAAGAGTTTTATGGTTTCACAACTTACATTCAGGTCTTTGATCTATTTCGATTTTACTTTTGTGTATGGAGTTCGACAATAATCCAGTTTCATTTCCTTACATGTAGCTGTCGTTTTGCCAACACCAGTATTGAAGAGGCTGTCATTTCTGCATTGTATATCCATGGCTCCTTTATTGTATATTAATTGGCCATATATATATGGGTTTATATCTGGGCTTTCTATTCTGTTCCATTGATGTATGGGTCATTCTTGTGCCAGTACCAAATTGTGATTACTGTGGCTTTGTAGTAGAGCTTGAAGTTGGGGAGTGTAATCCCCCAGCTTTATTCTTCCTTCTCAGGATTGCTTTGGCTATTCGCAGTCTTTTGTGGTTCCATATGAATTTTAGAACTATTTGTTCTAGTTCATTGAAGAATGCTGTTGGTATTTTGATAGGAATTGCATTGAATCTGTAGATTGCTTTAGGCAGGATGGCCATTTTGACAATATTAACTCTTCCTATCCATGAACATGAGATGTATTTCCACTTATTGGTGTCTTCTTTAGTTTCTTTCATGAAGATCTTGTAGTTTGCAGGGTATAGGTCTTTCACCTCCTTGGTTAGGTTTATTCCTAGATATTTTATTCTTTTTGATGCAATTGTAAATTGAATTGTTTTCCTGATTTCTCTTTCTGCTAGTTCATCATTAGTATATAGGAATGCAGCAGATTTCTGTGAATTAATTTTGCATCCTGCAACTTTGCTGAATTGAGTTATTACTTCTAGTAGTTTTGGGGTGGATTCTTTGTATTTTTTTTATGTACAATATCATATTGTCTGCAAAAAGTGACAGTTTAACTTATTCCTTACCAATCTGAATGCTTTCTATTTCTTTGTGTTGTCTGATTGCCATGGCTAGGACCTCCTGTACTATGTTGAATAAAAGCAGGGAGAGTGGGCATCCTTAGACAGACATTTTTTTTAATGCTTGCAGAAGGTAGAAACCCTAAGAAGCACATTTCATTTAGAATAGCCAACCTCCTGGGAATATACTATATGTTCTTTACCAGGAAATGAAATTGGTATTGAATTCTCCAAATTTACATTCATTCTTGTAATTTGCATTTTAGGTTCCTCGTTTTAAGTTTCCAGTTACACAATATCCAATTTCTTTGGAAATTCACAGTGAGGATGGACATATCCCAGTGCAATATCCGTATCTGGTTACTGTGACTGAAGTAAATAGGAGGGAAAACTGGGAACTAAGTAGGGTTTGCTTTCTTCTATAATGATTTTCTCTTATAAGTACTGTTGTTATTAGCTAGATAAGTGCTTGAGAAAACCTATTTACACAAGACAAGGCCAGGAGTTCTTTGGAAAATAATTTGAATCGGTGGGTATATTGCTATTGCCTCAACTCCTATTGTCTCACACTTTATTCCAGCATTACTTCTAATGACCTGGATTCTATGGTGTAAAAGCATTTTTGAAGAATTCGAATTCTAAGGCATTTGAAAGACATTTTATAGATTAGTAGCAAAAATGATTGAATTTATGGCATATATTGGTCTGTTGTCTCCTTTCACTGCTTATGAAATGCTACAGAAGAAGTTATAAAAGATATTACCAGATAATCTATGGGATCTGTCTTCTAATCATATGAGAAAAGTTTCTTAAAGATTTTATGGTAAAATAATTGTAAAGATGCAGAAATATTTTTAAGTAAGAAAAATGAAATTCACTGTAATTCAGTTTTACCTCAAATATACAACTTTTTATTATAATTTTGTGTTTATTCATGTATTAATACTTTGAAGTGTTTGGTCAGATAGATAGTTAAATGAACTTTTGATCAGTCATTAATATGTTACCAAATATTCATATACTTGGTATACAGTGAATCTTATTGTGTCCAACATATACATTTTTGAAATAAAAATCCTAGGAAAGAAAACCACTAAATATTTTGTTTTAACTAACATTTCCATTTTTGGGGGTGTAATGGAGTCTGCTATTATCAGCTTTTGAGCACTGATTGTTAAATATTCAAGTATTTTGAGCACTAGTTTCTAAACCATGAGAAGCTTGAAATTAATCATGGTAAGAGTGTTTATACCATGGATTTGGCAAATGCTATCAGAGCTTTTTTTTCCCCTTTAGACCTTACGTGCACCACTGCAATTTCTAACCCCCACACTACAGTTCTAGTTTTAGAAAAATACATAAGAAAGGCAAGAGTAACTGATCACTTCTTTTGGAAAAAAGTTAAGTGATCCTATTAAGTGATCCTATTGTGAAATGTTTCTGTCACCTTACTGAAAATCATTCACCAACCACAGAGGTGATCTTGGAATTATCTCACTGCCAAAGAGACAAAATATTTGCAGATCAGAACTGATCATGAGCATGGGGCTTGGAAAAAAGGTCAGCCTGAATAAGGTGGTCAGAGGCCTTGTCCTTCTGGACAATGTCCCTGAGAAGAAGCAATGTCAGATACTAAACCTAATTTCTGCTAAATACATCTTCCACAAAGTCAAGCAGAACTGAAAGTGTGGGATAACTTAGCCATGTTAGAGAGTAGAATCTTTCATTGTACCTTAATGTATGTAACAAATTTTATGCAAAATGTAAAAACAGTATAAGTGTGATTAAAATATACTTCATGTACTTTTAGAACACAGTGTGCCAGAAAATATAAAAAAATTGAAAGATCACTTTGAATTGATTCTTCATGCTCCCGTGTATAATCCTTTAGGCCTCAACCTAAGTATAAAGGTGAGCTGACAGCATTTTTGTTTTTCCTGTTTTGACTTTAGAGAAAGTATCCTTGTCTAAAAAAGGATAAGTATCTATGAATAAGGGAAGAAGCATCTTTAAATATATTGGGTGTGTTTACTTTTCCTCTATTTCCCTTGATGTTATTGTTTCTAAAGGTATCTGAAAGTTATTTTTTGAGCTGATAGGCAAGACTAGTAGTAATAGCAGCAGAAAGGGTGTTTCCAAAATTTAGGGGGAGAAAATGGGCTCGGTATTTTTTACTGGTATATACACAGATAGGTTTTCTGGTTCCAGCTGCCCATAGAACACATTAAATTAAGAAAATCTAGATAATTGTCATGAAAGCCATAAAAATTAGGGGACTTATCAATGGGAAGATTGTTGGTCAAAGAGTACAAACTTCCAGCTAGAAGATGAATAAGTTCTGGAGATTTTAATGCACAGCATTGTGATTATAGTAAACCAAGCTATTATTATATATTTGAAAATTGATGAGAGAGTAGATCTTAAATGTCCTTACCACAAAAAAGAAATGGTAAATATGTGACCTGTTGAAAGTGTTAGCTAAGTCTATAGTGGTAATCATATTGCAATACATAAGTGTATCGAATCAACACATTGCACAACTTAAATTTACATAGTGTTATATGTAAATTGTATCTTAATAAAGCTGAAAATGATGGGAAACAAAATTAGGTGATATATCAAAACTATGAATATGAGAATTAGTCAAAATTACTCAACAAGGCCATGTTAGGTTTTATATTTCTGTTTCTTCATTCTGAAGATAAGTATCTGCTGTCAGCGTCCTCTGTTTCAAACTCTTATCCTTCTCCCTGTTTTTTCACTTTGATATGTGAAATATATGCTCAGAAGCCCAAGGAAGGGGATTGGAATCTGTAGAGAAGGTGACCCCAGAGTATATTTTTATTTATAGAGGATCTGAGGTTTCAGTGCTGCTAATGACCAGGTATATTTTTTCCACAGGGCTCTGAGCTTTTTCACTTCAGAGTGTCCGTCGTTCCGGGGGTCACTTTCTGTAACTTAGTTGAAGAATTCCAGGTATAGTGAATGCACAAAGTATTGACGGGATGATGCTGGGGACATACCATGACAAGTGTTAGTCCAAGAGACTCTGAAGAGAAAAAAAGCAGCACAATCTGTGTGAGGCTTGGAGACAGGGATCCTGGAGGAATGTGGTGACATTGTCAGTAATGATGAAGTCAGAGTGTGTAACAGATGGCAGGACCCATGTGTGCTGGGAAATTTTTAATAAGTGCCTGTATTTGTTTTTGTTGCCTCTCCGTCTTCCATATGTAACTCAGTTTTCTAACTTGTGATGCCATTCCGCTCACTCCCACCTTCCCACGCAGACATGTATGTAACATTTTAATTTCCAGTATTATCCTTCCTTTGGTTCACTGTAATCGTAGAGTCTTAAAAAGCTAAGAATTGGGGCTCAAAATTGGTCTTCCCAAATTACGCCATGATGTGCAGTGTTCGTTTTTGCTTATTCATACAATGGCATTTGCTGCCTGAAAGGGGTGAGAAGGAATGAGAATTTGATTAAATTGATTAATGACTCATTCATTATCAAATACTGAGACCACATTATCAAAATCTCTCTCCCTCTCTCTCTGAACCCCCATCTCCTTCCCTCTCCTTTTTCTATCCTTACTCTGCCCCAACCAAGTCTAGCCCCAGTGGCAGATCTGCACTGCTGCAGAGGTGGATGGCCATGAAAGCAGTATAGACACCTAAGACCCTGAGAGAAAATCAATCCTGCTAGAAAGAGGAGCTAGGAAGCACTGGGAGTGTGAGAGGAAATACCCATTATTTTTCTCTCTTTTCTCCCCTCTTTGTCCCAAGGGCAGCTCCAATTTCAGGGGATAGCAGAATAGTAAGGGGCTAAAATTCTCCTCGAATCCAAGTTTTCTTTCCTGAGGACTAGGAAAAAAGGCCTCTGGGGATAGTGACTGGGGGGAAATCTCTAAGAGAAGAGTGATGTAGAAGGACATTCCTAATACTGCATATGAACCAGCACAAGTGCCAAACAGCACATAAACCTAAAGAAGCCTATGAAGGCTTCAAAATAAAACTACAATATAAACACCACTTAAGTTCCAGAATAACCCCTGACTGGCATAAAAAACAAGAACACACAATAGCAATCAAAGGCCTTGAAAACTGACTGACATTGGAGCCATCATCCATTGAAAGTGAAGTATAACTTGTGATCTAAACTCAATCAGTATGATTGACTGCTAAAAAAAATGAAAGAAAATCAATGTTTTCCAGAGAATTTTTAACGGGACCCAGAATCTCACAACATAATATCTTAAACATCTAACAATCCAAAATTACTCATACTAAGAACTAAGAAAATATATTCCTTTCTGAAGATAAAATATCAGTGAATGACACAATCAGTGAATGACAATGAGATTATCAGACAGATATTTTAATCAGCTATTATAACTAAGCTACATGAGGTAGAGGTAAATATCTTTGAAACAAATGAAAAGGGAGAAATTTTCAGTAGATGATAGAAGCTTTAAAAAATGACTTAAGTGAAAATTTTAGAACAAAATATTTAAAATCTAAAAATCACTGGATGGATTCAGTAGCTAACTGGATATGGCAGAGAAAAAGCAATCAGTGAATTTGAAAATAAATCAGTAGAAATCTAACTGAAAAAAAGAAAGATCTTAAATAGCCTCAGGCACAGTATCAAAAGTCCTAACATTTATGTCACCAAAGTCCATGAAAGACTGCAGAAAAAAATATGTGAAGCTATAAGTCTGAAAAATGTCTCACATTTGGTGAAGACATAAATTTACATATTCAAGATGCTTAATGAATGCCATACTAAGAAAAACTCAAAGAAATCATGCCTAAACATTTCAAGAACTACCAAAAATCAAAGATAAAGAAAAAAATCCTGAAAGCATCCAAAAAAAAGCAACACTATATTTAAGAGAACTGCAGTTTGAATGACTACTGATTTCTCATCAGAAACCTATGGAAGCTACGAGAAAATTGTACATCTTTAATGTTCTGGGATTTGGGGTAAAAGTGGGGGAAAGGACTATCAATCCAGAATTCTATATCTAGAAAACATCCTTCATAAGTGAGGTGGAGCAAAAAAGACATTCTCAGATAAAGGAAAGCTAAGAGAATCCACTGTAGGCAGAACTTCTCTTTTTTAAAATGCTTAAGGAAGTTCTTCAGACTGAAAAAAAAAGTGCAAACAAAGGGAAATGAAGCTTCAGGAATTTTTAGACACAGCATGGAATAGTTGAATAGTCAAAGGGAAACATTTGAAGAAAAACTGTTTTAAAGGGCTTTAGAGGACTATAGGGGGTGTTATCTGAAGCAGAGCAGAGAGATGGGGAAAAAAAGAGAAAATGAAACAACCAAGAAGGTTATGATTACAATGTGTTGTTTCCTGTGGCTCTGCCTAACTTAGCATGGAAAATTCCCTTTTGCATTTGCATGTAGCACACAATTGATGTATCTGGAGAATACAGAACAGAGGTGATAGAGGTTTCTACTCTTAAAATATAATGGATGGCTTAACTGAGCAAGTGAAATTTTTATAGTGTCTTGTAAGGTGACTAAAATTTTGTTAGGTAGAAATGAGTAAGGAAGGCATTCTGTGAGAAGAGAACAAGCAGCAGCAGAGACATGGATATGGGAAAGCATAAAGCTTATCCCTTAAATAAGGTTATATGTAAGAAAGTGGGGAACTTAGGCTAAAATTCCAGGAAGACCTTGAATGAGAACTTTAGAACCTTCCTGTAGGCAATGGAACGCTATTAAACATTTTTTAAATAAGGTGTTCAGGGACAGACACATGATCTGTAGCAGCTCAATCTGAGGAATCCACAGGACTTTTGCTCAGAATGCTGGGACATGGACTTTCTTGATGATATTGAAGAAGGAAGCTTGTAGCCCCAAGAGCTGCTGTCAGCTATGAAGGCTGTGGACTATAGGGGGTGTTATCTGAAGCAGAGCAGAGAGATGGGGAAAAAAAGAGAAAATGAAACAACCAAGTAGGTAATGATTACAATGTGCTGTTTCCTGTGGCTCTGCCTAACTTAGCATGGAAAATTCCCTTTTGCATTTGCATGTAGCACATGATTGTCTGTCTCAATGGCCAAAACACACTAGATATTTCTTAACTAAAGCTAAGTTTTCAAACTTCTCTGATGGTCCAGCATAAAAGGAATATTTTTTGTTGTCTGGTACCATCCTGAAGACCACAAGTAGCATATCACATTCAATATCAAACATTTTTCTATCAAATTCCCAATAATTCCAGTACTGGTAGACACATAGTCTGAGCCCTAAAGTACAACAGGAGATGGTTAAACCAGCTGATCCATTACCATGAGGACAACTGCCCGTCCCCATTGGAAAGAATGGTTTCTCACTGCTTTCCATACCACTTGGCAAGGTGCACCTTTTAAATTCTGTTGCTTATGACACCCCACTTCTGGTTCCAGTTCTGTATGGCCAAGTTTTTTTTAGTTGTAAATAAAGCAACCTCACTTAAAAAAAAAAGAGGGGGTTATAGACTGGGTGGTGCTTTACAAAGTTTAACCTGACAATTTTACTATGTCAACGTGGATTGATAACATGGAAAGGAGACTATTAGAGTTGCTTATTTATACAAAGTGAGGTAATAGAGCCCGCAGCAGGGGTATTGAAAGTGGAATGGAAGGAATGAATCTGAGACGAATTGTTGAAGAATTGACACTGCTTCTAAGGGACTGTTTATGAGAAAAGAGATACCTCTTGGGTCACTGAGAGGATGGTGGTACCTTTAATCTGAGCTATAACCTAAAGCAGTTTATCAATCCTTTTCTTGTCCTTAGCATTCCACATTTCCTACTGTCCTATTTCCATTCATCTCCACTTTCTTCTAGCTTAGAAGATGATCTTGATCTTGTTTCCCACTTCACAGAGAAAACATAAACCACTGGGCTCAAGCCACCTTACTCTTCATATACCCCGACTTTTACATTGGACATAAACAGCATAAATGGCCCCCTTCCTTGCCTCAGATCTCAGAGAAGAAAAATACACTTCTATGCCTCTCTGTCAATACTCGTACCTCTCCTCTAGGAACTTGTTTTTATTAATTATCCATTCAGGCACAGGATATGTTTCGAACATACAGAAATATCTATGTCACCACTTGTGCAGAGGATTTTCTAAAGAGATGACAGCTTGAACGAGCACATGCTTATTCCCCTCCCGGGATGTCCTTTCTTCTCTTCTGGGAGCCCAGTTATTCTTTAAGACCCAGCTCAGGACACACATGTCCTGATTACCATAGTCAGTTAGGTGTTCCCTGCCTGTTCCCATGGCACTTTGTCCATTCCTCTGTAGATGAATACAGAGTATCTTCCCGCCGTCTGTGTTCTCTCTGCTTACTTCTGCCATTAAAGACATAGGCTAAAGGCATAGGAAAATAAACAAAACTCTTATTCCCCGTTTATCATTACTTGTCAGATTGTCAAGAGACTGTTTTCAAGCTTTATGGATGCTGAATATCTGTGTAAATTTGGGGAGAATTTTGCTAAACGATTAATCATATCTCCTGTGGAGATCATATAAAGCTCAGTGTTTTCAATGACAAGATTCAGAAAGCTTAAAGATTTGCTTTTTCTGTTACAGATTTATGTTGACGAAGTACCGTTGCCATTTCCAGGACACACACTGATCGCCGTTGCAGCAGCTGTAGTGCTAGGGGGACTAATTTTTACAGCATTTATGTTTAAAATACGTGACATCCACCCGCGGGATAGGTACCAAAAACTTATTAAAAAAAGCAACACTAAGTTATCAAACATCAGTTGCAATCAGCCACCTTACAGATGAAAATCTGAATTGCAAGCAAATTAATAATCCCAATTTTCTCTTCACTTCCTGGTTTTATTAGACAATTCCTAGAACAATATATTTACATACTAACATAAAGACCAGATAAAATACTACAGAATGACTATTGTAACTCAAATTTCTATTTGTCAATAATGTTTGACCATTCCCTTCTTTCATTTTAAATACATAGAAAACTTGTTATGTCAACACTTGTGTAAAGGATTTTCCTTGAGGTTCTTAGAAAATGTAAAATGATAATCTGTGTAGAATGAGTTTTCTATATTTTTTGGCTTTTGTGGGCTGGAGCCCATTGTGTGGGATCAGAACACCTGTGCCTTGCTCTTTTCAGGTAGGAGTGTGAGTAGAACTCAGCCATGCCCAGGAAAGACAGGTGCCAAAGTAGGCTTATCTGTAGGTGCACTTTCAGAACCTCATGGGAAATAAAGATGAACCACTTGGGTTTCTTGAGGCAACTTTGCGGAGACCAGCTCCGCAAACCAGCTGAACCTGAGAGGAGTGGGTGGGAGATTAAGGAGACCAGAGATAGCAAGAAGGACAAGAAACCAAAGTTGGGATCAGGAGGTTCACTTCCTGGTGGAAGAACAGTGGTGCAGTTTTATTCCTGAGCACAGCTTATATACACAGGTTCACAATGATGTCACTTCCGGGCTGATTTCATGTCCGGTGCTGTCACTTCCGGTTCTGGTGTTCTCACTTCTGTATCTGGTGATCTCACTTCCTGGCCCTCTCTGCAACTTCAAAACCAGAGTGCAATGTCTAAGGCAGGGAAATATGACCATCATGAGGTTGGAAGCACATGGGGTTTGGGAGTCATATTGGTTTACAAACCTACACGCAGCATGTGGAATTCCAAGAGGTATATCTCTGTGTGCTCTCTCAGAGCACCTGTTTCCAAATAGAATGTGGCCACTACAGTCAGAGGTGAGAGAGTTATACTCTCCTGGAAAAGCTCAAGAGGAGAAGAACACTGCTTTGACAGCATAAGGAGAGGCTAGACCTCTAGCCCAGAAGACCCTAAGTCTGCGAGCAACAAAATATGGGCCCCTCCAAGAATCTAGGTTGCACCTAGAATACCCAGATTTATGATACTAAGTTTTTATATTCTCAAAAGTTCACTTGAAATTTGTTTGCAGTGACATAAAGCAAATTATTATTCATAATAATTCTTAGGAAACAATTATGAGCATAGCATGTAAAATAAGATGCATCATGAGTTTATTCCACAGTTTTTTATAATAAGCATTTAATTCTGTAGAAAAAATGCAAACATCACCTTTATTGTTAATATTTTCATTTGGTTCTATAAACAAAGTGCCTGCAAGGCAAGAAAGTTCTTTTGAGAGGGCAGTGAGTAAATGGATCCAAGAATCAGACCCAAGAGCCGACATTCTGAGTTTGCCACTTCCTAGATGTGTGACCTGGCCAAGGTACTTAACTTCTTTGTGCTTGAGTCTCTTCACTTGTAAAATGGGGACAATATTTATACCTGCCTAATATGGTTACCGTGAGGGTCAAATGACTTGATACACATACCTGGCTTAGAACAGTGCCTGGCTCATGAATACTTTGAAGTTTCAGCTGTTGTTGTTAGGTTACAAGTAATAGAAAGTGATTCTGTCTAGTTATAATAAAAAGAGAAGTTTATTGGAAGGGTACTGCAGAAAGTCAGATAAAGAAAAATCTGGGCAATCAGTTTTTGTCATGCGCAGGAATGAGGACCATTCTGGAGACCCAGGAAACAGAAGTTTGTCAACTCTTCAGAGCATTACTTGCGCGAGGGGTCTAGATATAAAATATGGCACAGAGCTTACAAATTTAAGCTCCAGAGCCTAACAGCCTGGTTTTTTCTTTTAATAAACCTTTTAAGTTTTAGAATAGTTTTAGATTTATAGAAAAGTTATGAAGATAGTGCAAAAGTTGTGAAGATACAGATATAACCCACTGATATTATTGCCCCTGATATGAATACCTTACAGCCTGGCTTTTATCTAGCTCCATCACTTACTAGCTATGTGACCTTGGAAAAGTTATATAGCCTCCATAGATTTTATACTGTGCTCTACCACACACCACCTTTTGGCTATTTCTGCATGTAGACATGCTGTGCACTCATCTGTCTTCCTGTACATTCAAAGACTGACCTGCTAAGATAAGCCAACTACTCTACATGCAACTACACACTCCTTGTCTTCTTCCCCGAAGGGTTAGCCGAAGACATATCTAACTATGTGCTCCAGAGATAAAGTCATAGAGCCACTGTTTTTGGAGTCTAGGATCTCTTGGTTCTATCAATTTTTCTTAGTTTCTTCTTGGAAAGGGGGGAAATGGTGGTGATAATTATACTTTAGCAGAGAACAAGGAATGTGAATAGAGTTTATGACCCTTGTTTCTGTAACTACTACTAACGCTGATAGTAGATTTATGAGTCCACTACACATTCTCTGTGCTCCCTTGCCTTTGAACAGCTCCTCAGTTGATTTCCTTTGCAAAGGAAATAAATAGTCTTCATTCCTTTGGTAAACCTGCCCTTTCGCAATTGTATATCTATCACTGTATAAGTTATTTCCCATTGATATTTATCCTTGGGTGTCCTTGGTAATAGAAGTTTGTGACCGAATATCCACCCAAATCAATCTCGGTGCCTACTGTGTTTGAGCATCCCTGTTTTTCCTCAATAGGATTGATTATCCTCTTTTGCCTGTTTTTCTACTACACCAGGAACAAAAATGGCTACATGGCAGGCTTTGCTTGCAATTCAGTGGACTCATTACTGCATTCATTGGTAGAAGCCTTTCTGTACTAGTTAGATAGACCAGTGATTATCAGAACCCAAAGTTTAGAGCACAAAGAACAAAAGGTTTTCTTGGTGGTTTATTAAGTGAAATCTTAAAAAGAACCATTCACTCTCTACCCTATGTTTCCCGAATTAATGTGTTCTAGTCATAGGAAACATCCCTGTGTTCTGGAGATTACTTACATATATTTCATCCAACCAGAGAAATGGCCAGGGTCCAAAGGACCACTGTGCATGAATTTTCAATAGGCCTTCTCCTACTGAAAGTAATAAGACCACCTGTTTCTGGGTGACAGAGTGGCAATAATACAAAAAAAATCCCCAAAACACCAACCCATTGCCTCACTTCTTTTTATAAAGTTAGTGAAGATAGGGTCAGAGGCAAATTGTGAGGGATCAAAATATCTGAGGGTCCCAAAATTCTGAAAAGATTATCATTTCTTCCCATGTGTAATTAAAATTTTTGATATAACACAAAACTTCAAGTATATATGTAGATTAGAATTTTTTTCTAGATTTTCTGATTGAAAAATCCTGAGTAAATTCATCGGCAGTTTACTATTCTCACTTTTCGTTTGTTTGCTTGTTGTGGCAGAGATGGAAAAATACCAAGGCAGTGTAGAAGGCATTCAGAGCGATGGGCAGGCATGATTACAGTATGATAAAGGTCATGTCTCTTTCTGGGGCAAAAGGTGGCATGCTTATCGCCCATTCTAAAAGATTCGAGTTCCCAGGTTCAGGGCTCCTTTCATGTAATGCGATTCACCGTGTGTGTGCACATGTCACCACCCTCTCTTTGTTACCCCGGGGCTCAGGTGCAAAACTGCAAAAAAAAAAAACGTGCCAATAGTCTGGCTACTACTACTGCTGAAAGTAATAAACAGTCCTGTGTCTTGTCCCAGGTGCCTTGTGTCTTCACCTAGCATCCCCAGAAACTACATTATTAGTTTGCAAGTAGGATAAGATCTCAGCTCCTTCACAGTTCTTGACATAAACAGGACCTAAAGTTCTGCTGAGAGAAGCATAACCAGATTCGTACTGCAGACTGAACTGGCCTAGGTCCCACTCAGAGCTGTCCACATTTGAACCACAGTACATTGCAACAGAATATTCTCGATGATACGTGTTACGTGCTGCCTCACATTTCCAAAAGGACCTGCCAGGAATTGTTCATCTTTCTTAGTGGTAGAGAATGCAGTGTATTCTAACTTGTCCCTTACTTTGAAACGGGAGATCCCCACAGGCTCCAGAATGCCGAATTAACCCCAAAATATTAGAGTTGCTTATTTATACAAAGTGAGGTAATAGAGCCCGCAGCAGGGGTATTGAAAGTGGAATGGAAGGAATGAATCTGAGACGAATTGTTGAAGAATTGACACTGTTTCTAAGGGACTGTTTATGAGAAAAGAGATACCTCTTGGGTCACTGAGAGGATGGTGGTACCTTTAATCTGAGCTATAACCTAAAGCAGTTTATCAATCCTTTTCTTGTCCTTAGCATTCCACATTTCCTACTGTCCTATTTCCATTCATCTCCACTTTCTTCTAGCTTAGAAGATGATCTTGATCTTGTTTCCCACTTCACAGAGAAAACATAAACCACTGGGCTCAAGCCACCTTACTCTTCATATACCCCGACTTTTACATTGGACATAAACAGCATAAATGGCCCCCTTCCTTGCCTCAGATCTCAGAGAAGAAAAATACACTTCTATGCCTCTCTGTCAATACTCGTACCTCTCCTCTAGGAACTTGTTTTTATTAATTATCCATTCAGGCACAGGATATGTTTCGAACATACAGAAATATCTATGTCACCACTTGTGCAGAGGATTTTCTAAAGAGATGACAGCTTGAAAGAGCACATGCTTATTCCCCTCCCGGAATGTCCTTTCTTCTCTTCTGGGAGCCCAGTTATTCTTTAAGACCCAGCTCAGGACACACGTGTCCTGATTACCATAGGCAGTTAGGTGTTCCCTGCCTGTTCCCACAGCACTTTGTCCATTCCTCTGTAGATGAATACAGAGTAGCTTCCCGCCGTCTGTGTTCTCTCTGCTTACCTCTGCCATTAAAGACATAGGCTAAAGGCATAGGAAAATAAACAAAACTCTTATTCCCCGTTTATCATTACTTGTCAGATTGTCAAGAGACTGTTTTCAAGCTTTATGGATGCTGAATATCTGTGTAAATTTGGGGAGAATTTTGCT